GCAGTTTGCATGGTCCTGCTCCCGCATTGCCTCCACTGTTGGCTCCTGGGGCCCCACCGCTTTGTGGCAGAAGGCACAGATGTCTGCGGGAAGAAGGGGGAGGGGATCGGTGCCTCAGTTTCCCCAACTGGGGATGAGCCAACGTTGCACAGCTGGGTCCCCCCTTACCTCTGGAGCTGTCCCTCTCTGGGTTCCCATTCGCACCCTGCCACAGCAGCTTGCCTGCTTGCTCCTGGCAACATTTGGGCGGCTTCAATTCAGCAGGGAAGGCGGAAGGGGCCTGGTGAGCAGGGGAAGGCGAAGCCATGTTACATTTATGCCCTTGCTGGTGGGGAAACTGAGGCACCGGGGCAATTACACCCCATCATCCTCACCTGAAGGGTGGCGGGTGACGCCAGGTCCAATTGCTGCAGCGCTGGACCCAGCGCCTCCGCGGACAAGGGCTGGGGCGCTTCGGAGAGGACAAGGACCGGTGGGGATGAAGGCATGGGGGCCACTGGGCAGGTTTCTGTGTTGAAAGCCAGACACAGTGGGTTTAGGGGGAGCAATAATGTCCAACACCACCCCATCGCAATAACACCCCAACAGTTTTGCAGCAGCGCTTGCCGACTTGCCCCAAAAGTAAACGCCGTCCCGGACGGAGGGGACAAACAGCGCTGATAAGCACTCAGCAATGGAGAGCAAACACAGCCCTTCCCCGGCAGCCGGATCCATCCCAGGATGGGTGTAGGGATTTGGGGAATAAACCCCCCCAAAAAAACCCACATCCCCTCCTGCCTGCATGCGCATCCTTTAGCAAAGGATCTCTCTGCACCATCATCATCCTCCCGGCACAGCTTGCAGCCCACCACAGGCACTCCTCACCTCCGTTGGGCAATGCAGGGGGCCATGGTGGTGGGGTCCAGGCATGACGGGTGCCCGGGACCTCAGCACCACCCGGCCCCGTCTCCCTTTGGGTTTTCTCCTTGGTGGCTGCCTCCCTCCGCGGTGGCACCAGGGTGATGAAGATGGATGAAGCGATCCTCTTCTCTGCTTTCCCCGGCAACATCGTGGAAGCCATGGAAGGGCCAGACCTGGGTTCAATTTGGGGGAAAACAAGATAAAAGGGAGTGAAACCCACGGGTGCACCGGCAGCTTCTGCAGCCGTGCTGCCCTTCAGCCTCAACCCGCCTCCCTCCTCGCCCTCCCGGAAAGGGAGAAGGAATAAGCGTCCCCGTCCCACGTCACAGCAATAAATGGTGTCGTGCCTGGGAGGACACAGGGTAAAAGGTCCCAGCAAAGCAGCATCTGAAATCACCCATTTTTGTGCCTTTGTGGCCAAACCCCACCCTTTGTAAGCCTTTTAACCCCCTTTATTTCCTCTTATTGCCCCCACCTGGGATTAAATTCCCTGCAGGCAGCAGGAAAAAACCACCTTTCCTCTTAAAAATGGGGTTGCAATAGGATCTGCTTTTGCAAACCCTTTTTTGGGGTGTTTCTAGGTCCCCTGGCTCCCCATTCCCTCCCCACTTACACCCATTTTCCCGCTGATCACTTCTAGCAAAGGGCATTCCCCCCCCTTTATTTTTGCAGATGGGGAAACCAAGGCACGAAACTGCGAATCGCTGCATCCCCGTCACCAAAACGGCTGCCGAGCATCGCCTAGCGGCGCAGGCAGGATGCGCCCGACCCCCATAAACCCCGCTCGGGAAGGAAAAGGGATGTTTATTCAGCTTCCCAACGGGAAAGGCAGCCGGGGCGAAGCTTCCCCTTCCCAAATGGGATAGTTTTGGGGGGCGGGAACCCTGAGGCTTCAGCTGGGGCACCATGCCAGTAAAGCAGGATTCATCGCCGAGATGAATCAATGGCCTGAAAAATACCTGTGTGACGAGTTGCCCGGTCTCATGCCCTGGCCTGGGGCAGCTCCATTCCCCCAAAATCCCACTCATGGACGTCGGTGCATCCTTTTGGGGGGCAGCCGGTCCCCCCCGTGGCAGGGGAAAAGCTTCAGGACAGGCATGCTGGTGCATTCCG